GCGCTTTTCAAATTACTGTGATCAGTGATTTTCATACATCACACCGGAAATCAGAAATCTAGAATAAATGCAAATCTATGATTGGCTAAAAATATTTTTTATCCAATCATAATATTTCAGAGACCACTCAATGATTTTTTTTTTTTTATTTCTACAAATCTATAGAATCAAAATAAAAAAATTTAGCAAGGTGGTTATTGAGATATCTTTATTCAAAGTTTTGAAAATATTAAATCGCTATCAATATAATTGCCACAGCAAATTTTTATAAATTTTGAATAAAGATTTCTTGGAAACCACTCATTTAAATTCGATGAATTTTTTTTCATTTTATTTCTATGGATCTGTAAAATTAAAATAAAAAGAAAAATTTATCGAATTTGAACGAATGGTTGTCAAGAAATCTTCACTAAAAGTTTAAAAGTATTATAACATTTGTCAAAATAATAGTCTCAGCAAAATTTTTATAAAATTTGAGCAAAGATATCTCGGCAACCATCATTTAAATTGATGGACTTTTTTTTGTTTCTACAGATCTTTAGAAAATCAAAATAAAAAATAGCTACTGCAAAATTTTTATAAAACTTTGAACGAAGATATCTTGTTAGTCACTCATTAAATTTGATAAAATTTTTTTTTACTTTTTTCTACATATCTGTAGAATCAATATTAAAAAAAAATCGTTAAATTTGGCTAGGTGATTTCTAAGATAGTTTCGCTCAAAGTTTTGAAAAGATTAAAACGTTATTACCATCTACAGTAGGTCGGGAAAGTGATAGGCACATATGCATAATCTAGTCCTGAGCAATAAATATATACAAAGTCATGTGGGGCTATTAATGAAGGGCATCGAGACATCTCGTTGTCCTCCCGCTTTATTAAAGTTTAAAGGTCTGCCTTAAATACATGATTATGGATAAACATTTAAGCATTTACATTCATATAAACAGAAATTGAATATATGCGCTCTCATAATAAAATAATTACAATTCGTGATTATTACCATCGTAACAACGTCTATCACGCCAAAATGTAAAACTTGAAGCGAAGATAAATCAACGACCACCCATCTAAACTTGTTAAGTTTTTTTTATTTTGATTCAACAAAACTGAAAAATTAAATAAAAAAATTTATTAAATTTAGTTGGTGGTCATCGAGATATTTTTGCTCAATCTCTTGAAATTTTTTTTAAATTTTATGATAATATGATGCATTAAGAATGCCACCTCAATTTTAGGCCTATCAAAAAAGTAACCGCAGATCTATCAAAAGTATAACTTTTTGGGTCTTTCATATTGTGAGCCTGGGAACACGTGTGTGCCTTCGGTAGGCGCAGCTTTGAAATACGTTATGGCAATCAATTACCATAAATCTGTATACACTGTATTCGCTGTATACAGCGCATCGGGTGTTTAATGGTGTTAAAGGGAATCATGGGTATAATCGGTATAATTAGTATAAGCATTTTAATCAGTATAGGCAATATAAATGATATATTGTGAATAAGATGTATAATAATTAAACGAAAGTATATAATAAAGGTTTCTCGCCATTGAGGAAAGACATTCCCGGTTCATGATTGATAATTAAGTACTTACTTACCCCACATTCATTAAATAAACCAATTGATCGTGGCATATTAGTGATATCATCGATCTGTATTTTACCCCCCGAAGTATTGACGACCGAAACCGAAACCACAACTTACCCACTCGACAAATATAGCACGCCTCTCTCGATAGGTTTCTGGTGTGCTGGATTAAGTTGTCCCGGAAGATCGACTTTCCGTTGTCAATATCCACAAGATCGTATGATCGAAGTGATCTAACCAAATATGATATTCCCAAAAAATTTACAATTCTTAAATTAACTGAAATATTTATTGCATTATTTCAGAATACCTTACAGTATGCTGTTTCTAAATGGTTCGCACTAATGTACAAGTTTAATTAGATAGTATACTAGGAAATCAGAATCTGATATAGGTCCGAAAGTTATACTGACTGCAGATCATTACAGGAACCGTCAATCCTTAAATTTTATTGGTACGTAGTTTCTGACTAACATTGCATGAGCGTGCATTAAAGTTTACTAAAAGAGTTGAGTCCTCGCTACGCTTCGGATAATTTAGGAACAACGTCATCTTCGAAGGGATTCTTGTGAACCATTATTAGTTATAAATTATTCCTTACCGGAACAAACCATATTTCACACGGGTTTACTATAAAATCCCGGAAGACAGATTCCCGAAAGGACTAATACCGACCAAGTTAGCCGGCATATGTTGGCTAATTGGGTCGGTATTATGTTCTTTCGGGAAAATGGTTTTCGGGATTTTGTGGTAGAACCATTTCACGCATATTATTTATAGTTCAGCCGGGTTAAATGATTGTCAGTGAACGGTCTCTCGGTAAAATGACCCGGAATATTTTTTGTATTCAGATCTGAGATCTGCAAAAATACTAAAATTCAGATTATTGTAAAAGAAGTTCTGCGCAGATCTGAATATATTTAATTTATTAAATATCTGTAACAAAAAAATACCCGATGATGTAACTGATTATCAATCGTTGATTCTCACTTTCCTGAAACCAACTTTCCCGAAATTAAGGATTGGAATCGGTTTAGTCGACTAAAAAACTTTATAGTAAGTTTGGTTTTCGACTAAACCGATTCCCTACCCGAAATACCATTCCCCCGATCCAATAATTCCGATATCCCTTTTTCCTGACAAGACATATTTCTGACAATATATTTTGCTGATAGAATTTTTTTCAGCGAATTCTTTTTTTTTTCCCGACACAACCAATTCCTCAACAACTTGAATTTCTGAAAATTTCATTCGACAGACTTTTTCACTGACAAAACTCTTTCACCGAATCCTGTTCCCCAGACAAAAATTTTTTCTGAAGCATTTTAACCGACAAATATACCAAGATCGGAGTGATATATAATATCACGAAGAGTATGGTTTATAAGTATTTTTAGTGATGTATGTCCGCAAAATCTCATAATTGATTGGACAATGCATTAAATCCAATGAAACGCGAAATTCTGCACTTAAACTTCACGATATTGCTAAATTTATATATAGTATAAGATTTGTTTAACCATATCGAACGTTCAACTTATATTTTTCATTGCTTCAACAGATTTTTGTCTCAATGACGATCATTTATAAAAATGTGATTTTTTTTTAATTATTGTCCTTCGTAATTGAATCAACCAAATATGTTGTCAACTGTCTTCAGATAGTCTTCAGATCCGGTAACGGCTTATCTGAGCCGGTTTTAGCTGCAATTGAATCGGTAAACTCATGGCTCAGTTTAAGTCATAGTTATTGAAGCCACAACTTGTGTCATGGCTAGAGCATTACTTGAGCCATGGTTCATGCTATGGTAGATAATACCACACCGATACAGAACTGCAGTAGTATTGTATTAAATATTATTAAATAGCTACAGTAATAATGATTTTAAAGCAATATAGTATTTAAAGAAGCCATACAAGCATTAACAGCTTTAAAAATATTTAATAAGCTGAAATTGGTTTACAAAACTCTTCATCATATAATGTCAAATTGTCACATGATATTTTTCTTATTAAATCAATTGAACATTATCAATCAATATATTAATTAATTTCTCGTGTAAATTTTTATCCGTATTGATTTAAATTCTCTCAAGCACATAATTAATAGATCAAAGCTCAATTTCCAAATTGTGGAAAGTAGTTTAACCGGTAAGCGAGTTCATTATCTAGATGAAAAAAAAGTTTGAAACCACCTTAGACGTGTTCTATTGGCTAAAATTTATTATCCGTAGTCAGTGAAATAGTTGTCGGAAAATTGGTTTATACCTTTTTTCGGGTTATAAGTTGACCCAGAAATCATAATAATAGCTGTAAATTGGTAAAACATCCTTCGGGTAAAGAGCTTTCAGTAATATATTTTCAACGAAATAAAATGTCAGAAAAATGTACCATTTAGAAAAATGGCATGTTAGTAAAATAGAAATTTCTCGGTGAAATGGAAATTGCAGGTAATGATTTACCGGTATCAGTAAAATTTATTGCCAATTACATGATATTTTGGTAAAATGAGACCTTCAGAATTATTATGTCTTGTTAGTAAAATAGGATGTCAGTACTATGACTTCGATGTAATGGTATTTCCGTAAAATTGATTTCGGAAGTTAAACCCGTAACCATTATCATTCGGGTCATCCTGTTTCATGTATCAGGAAGTTCAAATATTTAAGTATAATTGATTTTCTTATTTCTCGTTGCCAATACATTTGAAAAAAAGATATAAGTAGCCCACATTTACCGTCCTCATCAATAGCAAAAATTTCATAAATAAATAAAACAAGAACTCTTTTCGTTTTATCGTCAAAAAACGAATATTTCACTTGAACAAAATGTCCAAATTCCAGACAAAAAAAAATTTCTTGATCATGTTTTTCGTGATCCTCTTTTTCATCCTCGCCGGTGCAGTCAGCATCGATCTTAAGAAAAGAGTAGTTGACATAGAGACAATTGTAGTCGTGATGATGATTGTAGGAATAATATTTGTCGTCTTGTAGATACCGATAAACGAAACACATGTCAAAATTCCGACAAAAGACCATCTGATGCTGATTGTCTAGAAAACGCTGCATGCAAATCTGGCCATTGTATCGGTGCTTTTATTGGTGAAGATGGGGAGGTGAATGATCCCGGACAATGTATCTAACTATGATACACCAGGAAGATGTGCAACCGATAGCGAAACGGTTCAATTGTGAGAAAGATAAAATCTTTATTATGTGTTCACCCATTTTTTGTATGTGTTTTTATTATGAAAATAAGTTTATTTACTTATTAATAGAGTGAACTTTTATTCACAAATAAAATCTTTTGTTTTTAATTAAATTTCATAAATAAATAACAATTGTTCTTTGATGTTAAAATAAAATTTATGATTATAATGGAACCCTTATGAAAATTTTTCTTAGGTACAGAATTTTTTGTAAAAGATAACTGTAAATCTTATTACATTCGTAGATTAGTTAATGATGTATTATTAGTGGTTTAAAATACTTACTCGCTAATATTAGAATGGTTTGAAAATTGATTTCTCCGTAACTACTAGATTAACCTCAGTAAAAATTGTTTTATTTTAATTCAAACCTTTGTAGAATTAAAATAAAAAAATTTTTATCGAAATTTATAATAGTTGTTGAGAAATCTTCATAAAAATTTTAAAAAACATTCGAATTTTATAAAAAAATCGATAAATTTTTTTTTTTTTTTAACTTTAAACAAAGATTCCACAAGAACCATTGATTCAAATTCGATGAATTTTTTTTATTTTTATTCTGTGAGTTTATAGAATTAAAATATAAAAAATTACTGAAATTGGGTACATTTTGCAAACCATGATTATTTATTATCA